AGTGAATTTAAAAAAAACAAACTTAAGTTAAAAATATACCTGGAATATAGCGTTTAATCAAAAGTTAGAAAGTAACAAATGTTTAATCTATAAATGTCTAAAACGAGGTATCTAATTCATTTAAGTTTAGATAAAATAGTTACAATAAATAAAACTTAATCTCATACCTCAATTCAAATTGTGAAACTTTTATATCTCATAATGCACATATCCTGTCAAAGAGAAATGCTAGGAGACTTTTTCAAAGTTTCAATGAAGCTTAAAAAGAACGTTGGAGTGGGCAGCAATTGAAGCGTCCGAGTGTGGCTTGGCGGAAGAAGCTCTCTTTGCTCGCAACAATGGTGATGACGCGTACAGCGGGAAATTGGAATGGACGTGGATTGTCGACAAAATTCTCTGGCGAGTTGCTTTCCCCCTCGTGGATCCCAAGACTATGAAGTCTCTAATGACCTAGATAGTGCGATCCCGTTCCCTGTGGACGCATTGGGGCTGGATTTGAACCTCCCCCAACGCCAAAGGATAGCTCAAGGCAGAGTTGTTCAAAACATGCCGCAAGTTTTGTATCCATGGCAGCGGAAAAAGAGGAAAACGCCGAAGAAATCAACGCGTGAATCAATTGAGGAAGAATCGCAATTGATGCTTTGAGGGCAGCTATACGAGCCTCGATGGACGAAAGACTTGATGGTTGGGTGTGGCGGGCGTGCACAGGAGGGAAACCAGGATTGGAGAGGGATAATATCATTGATACGATGCGATTCTCAAGCCTTAAACAGGAATTACTTACTTACAACCAATTAAACGCCCTAATTGTAATTAAGGCAAACACAACAATACAACACAGTTCATATCAGGATGGCCTTGGACCCGTCATGTGAGCTGCAGAGTTTGGCGAGTTCTGCTATATCGGCGACTTTGGCTGCCATTTCTGAGTCGCCGGAGCAAGGGATCGGGATAGCGCGGGGTCTGTGAAAGTCTCGCGTTTTGTCACTTTCTGTGTGTTTGTTTTGTTTTGTGCGTTCCCTTCTTCGCTTTGACGACTCCAGCATGAGGGGTTAAAGAGGGGTAGGGGTAAAATTGGGAATAGGAAAAAAGAAAAAGTTGAAAACTGAGAAGGGGACGGCTAGAAAGAGAGGAATGGCTGTGAGCACTAGGGTGAAACTAACGTTTAATAGCGTCTACGACGGTGATGCGGTGGTGATGGTCTCGACGGTAGTGATGGAGGACGATGGTGGTGAATTGGTGGTTCTGCGTTCGGTGATGTCAGCGAGGAGAGAGAGGAGTGGGATTTGGGAATCGATTGAGGAGAGATAGGAGTCGGATGAAAGTTTCTAGAGCATTCGAGTAGTAAGCCCACATGGGCCATTGTATTACTTTTTAAAAACAATGTGGGGGTGTTTGTTTGACCTCCTTAGTTTTCACTGGACTTAGTCTAGTCTGATGTTTGTTGCTCTGCAGGATTAACATTAATGGGATAAAAGAGGACTCGCCTCGACTAAGGACAGCGCTAGGCGGTCTTAGCGAGCCCCCCCCCTCGCGCATACCATAGGACTGGCTAAGAATTAGCTTTGTCCTCCTCACTTCGCTCTCTGCTTCATCATCTCTCGCGTCCTTTCTCTTCCTCCTCGCCTTGAACCCAAAATCACAAACTAACAAGACCTCAAATTTGAATCTCAATCGGAGAATCCATGAGCTGCGTCATCTGATTCACCTCGAACCCAAATTAGACAAGGTCGTCGATCGCACATCCGTCCTCCTGGACCTTGATTTTCGACGGCACGGCTCTTCTCTGTGAGAGTATCTCAACCATGCGGCCATGCCCATCTCAGCAGAAGCTCAATCAGGTCAGAATTTTTTTCATTTTTCTTGTGATTTTCAGAAAAGGCACAGATTGCATGGGTGATTTGAGTTTTGCGTGAATGGGTTTTGTTTAAAATGTTTTTTTGTTGTCATTTGGAGTAGGTGATGAGAAAAAGGCTATGTGAGATTTGTGTATCACTATCAGAGAGAGGGGATTATCCTCCCAGAGACCTCCCACTCCTGTTTTTTGGGGGAAGACGGTAGTACTGAGAAAAAGAGGGAGAGGGGAGGGAGTCAATGGGCGAAGATAAAAATGAATCAGGGAAGAAGATGATTCTAGCCAAATGATAAAATAATAATAAAAGAATTAGTAGATTAGATTAAATTAATGATAAAATATTGTATATATAGATTTAATAATATAATATTAGAGTTCTGCTTCTTAATCCGGCACTGTATCAAACGCTTCACTAAGTCAGTTCAGCTTAGTCTAGTCTAAGCCAATCCAGCTTAGTCCATGAAGCTAGTCCAGTCCGAGATAGTCCGGTGCAACAAATGCACCCTGTAAGTATTGTTTAATGCTTATTTTACGATAATTTAAATCCATCCAAGCTCCTGCCTAGATCTCACCTAGGCACCTAGCTGCTAAGTCTCAGTCCGCTGTTTGACTAGCGCCTAACATTTTTTAGGATATAATCCTAGCCAATTTAAGTTTCTTACATTGGCTTTGATATTATTGCTTACAACCACTTTGGTGGAGAGACTATTTTCTTTTATGAATATTGACTCAAAACTTTGCACTCTCCAATATAAAAGCTACCGCTTCGATTGAACCTTGCACTCTTTTGAATTTCACCCCTCCCCTCTGCAAATTATGGCTTTGCCACTGCTAGGGTGGGCACAAAAATCGCCAAACCGTAGAACCAAATTGAATTATAAACAAATATATCGAGTCGACTAGGAAGAAGTGAAGCCGCTCCTAAGATTTGGAGCATAAGCTTTTGATCTTTCCAATCGTAGTCGACCAAGAAGGAAGAAGTGATGGAGTAAAGGGTGAGTGCTATCCCACATGTCAAAAGGAATGTGGCGGGAATGCAATAACATGAACTTAATAGGAGCAAAATAGAAAAAACACTGTGCTTATGAACAATGTTTTAGATCATTTTGAGTTTTAGTATATATTAAATTTCACTTTAATATTTTCATTGGGTACAAGGATACCATTTTCATTCATTCTAGCAATTTTGAGGAACTAGCAACTTTGAGGAGCTAGCTACTTTGAGAAGCGGACATTGAACACAAAATCTCAACTACACTACTGAATGATTGTATCATTTGAGCTACAAAATCGCTGCACAAGAAGATATACCTTAGAAATGAACAAACACTTTTGACAAAAAAACAAAAAAAAAAAAGAAATGAATAAACACTAGGCAATATAAAGGGTTACATGGAGATGATGATCAAAGATTCAAAATGATTAAGGGCTAAATATGCAAGCATAAATATTCATAATTATTTAAGTAGAAAGCTCCGTAAAAAAAAATGTAAATCCTTTCAATTCCCATATTACATTTAATATTTTCATTAGTTCTTAAAAATAACATTGTTTACCTTTCTCTTTTGTTTCACATACTCTCCCTCTTGTGAAAGAAAGCGACCACCATCACTTGCAACTACTACAACCATCACGGCCACCACCCCGACATCGCTACCTCCATTACCACCACCAACGTTGTCACTTCCCCACCACCATTGTTGCCTTTACACCCCACTCACAAGAAAGTGAAGGTGTTCATTTCTAATGGTATACTAGCCTAAGAAAGTCATCACCTATGAACCACTCTACATATACATAAGTGATGACTTTCTTAGGCTACTATACCATTAGAAATGAACACCTTCACTCTCTTCACCACCATCATCCCACGGGTCCCCATCAACCCCTCACCATCGTTTCCGCTATCCACCACCATTAACATCATGTTCATTTACACCAAATAAAACAAATTTATATTGTTAAACGATATGATACTATTTTTTTTTCACTCACAACACTAATAAAAATATAACTTACCAAACACTTAACATCCTTAGTTTAGAACTTATTATTTTCAAAGTACAACAAGAGCAGTTTATTCAAAAAAAAATAAAAAACAAAAACAATATTAAATTGGCCTTTAGAACTTTTATGTGATCGTTTCCTTGGGTCTAGCTGGAATATACCGTTACTCAATGACTTGAACCTATGCTCTAATTCTAAAGGACTTGCATCAAACATGTATATTGTCACTATGACGCCTAGTCTAATAATTCAATATCATTTGTAAGTTTTTTTTCTTAGAACATTACATTATTAGATTAGGACACTATATGACGGTAAACCTGTTATATGTAGTTGGTTTCCAAAATGTGCATGTTTTGAGTACAGTGAATATGAACATCCGTAGTCATCAAAGGAACGACGAAATTTTTGTGGACACCCATTGTGGACACACATGTTCACGCCATGCAACTGCTCTCATGACTCATTTTTTGCTTGCTAAGAGCAATTCCACCCCTAAAGACTTTGTGCCAGCACCCAGAGCATTTATCCACTCAAGTGAACATTAATAGACCTCAATGAACAATAATAGGCCAAAGCATCTCCACCCCTAAAAAAAATGCGCTAGCACCCAGTCTAAAAATGCACTAGCACAAACGGCAAAGAGAAGGCCACGTCGCCATGATCGGGGTGATGGATGAGTGTGCTGACAGCGGGCCCCGCCACCTGCATTCCTGTCTCCTACTCGCGCCCACTCGCAAGTGAAAGCCACGTGCCAGCCAAATAGGCCGGTCCCTAGGTCAGTCAAAAATGGGCTGGTCTATTGCCTGGCTTGGGCTGGGTGCCATGCTAGTTTATGGGCTAGAGTGGATGCACTGACCCCCAGCCTGGTTTTTTGACTAGGTGCTGGCACATTTCACCTCCGGTGGAAGTGCTCTAAGTTTCTAAAAGATATACCCTTAACTATATGCATATAACATGCATCGCTCCTTGGGAACAAGCTTTTCATGCGTCCATAGTACAAACAAAGTGGAAGACGTGGAACATTAACTTCCATTCCTTAATCCTTCTTATGACGTTATTTCTGGGTCCGATCGCATCACACATTATCCACTTGACTCCAATAACAAAGACAAGGAATTTTCTTACATGTAACAAGTTCATTGAAACTGTACTATATTTAATCAATAATAAAGCTTGTTTATTCTGCTCAACATAATATTACGTTATCAAACCAAAACACCAAGTTGCACTCCACCGAAGACCTAAACCTTAATTAATTACCCACCTACATATTAGTTAACTTTAATTACTATAATTAACACTTCGAAACAAAATTAATACAATTATGCCATGATATCATATCTGATGTGCTTGAGCAGCACCAGATTCACGATATCAGGCGAGCTCAACTGTGGGAGATAACCGTCTGAAGACATGACCTCAACGATCGACTTGCCACCGAGATTCTGGTGCAAATACTCGGTCACAACCATGGGGACAGCAAGGTCTTTTACACTCTGTAAAATGTGACATGGCACCGTGATTAACCTAAGTATTTGTCTAATGTCGCTTTGGAATATGGTTTGTGCCACGCTGAGGGAAATGTCCGGTCGCATGTTGAATAGGGTCCGGCTAAACTCCTGGATCGCCACTGAGTCCATGTCCCTGCCCACCACCAGCGATGCGAACCCGGAGCACCATGCCTTGTAGTTGGACTGGATCGCCTCGAATAGTTGCTCCACATCTTCTTGCTCGAATCCTCCGTAGTAGTCCACGTCGTTGAGAAACCTATAAAAATGTTTCATTTTAATTGGTCGAATTGTTAATAGTGTTTAGGAAGTGTAATTAAATAACCTAAAAATGATTGAGAAAGATTGGAGAGTCAACATACTAGTCAAAAGGTAATTTTCGAAGATTTAATTAATTAATTAGATGGATGGATCCACTTTGAACAAACATGTACTAATTTAACAAAATCAATTACCACATAAAAAGCACACGAAAAAGGTAAAATTGGAGAAAATTAGTAACAATTGACTTAATTAGTTAATCAAATTGATGGTTCGAATAAAATTTCAAACTAATCAGTCTCTACTTTGTTGGATCAAAAAAATGAAAACCAATATCTTATTGGAAGGCAAATTTGGGATGATAAAATAATTGGGTTTCTCCTTCATCGAGAATTCCTTACGTTCACATCCCCACACGTCTCCTCATCTGTGACGAATTTTCAGGACAAACACGTGCACAACACAAATAGGATGACGTGAAACATGTGACGTGGAGCATGTGTGGTTATTGAGTTTCACTGATATGGACTCTTTTACTTTCATATGATCACACATCTCACGTGTGAGAAATTTTTAAGTCAAACAAGTAGACAACATTTATTGGGTGTCGTAGAGCACGTGAACCCTTTGGGCTTCACATGTCGATCAACCTGCTTTGATTCAACAAAGTTGAGGTTACACATGTCCTTGCAAGGTTGTAAGACTTTTTAACTTCATATCTCACAATTAGTTCCTAATTAATGTTGAGAATGAGTCTCACATTGATAAGATGATGGACCTTACATGTGCTTATAAGTAAATTTAGCTACTCCTCATGTTGCAAATTGGAATTATGGTAGAACCTCAACTTTTTTCATGGTATCAGAATAGGTTGTCCCAAGTGTGAAACCAAACGACCACACATGCTTCACGTTACCCTCTTATGCCCACGTCACTTGAGCTTTGTTGTCCACATTGCATGTGCTTATAAGTAAGTTAGGCTACTCCTCATATTGCCAATTGATTTTATGGTAAAACCTCAACTTTTCTTTAATTAAAATATTATTTTGGTTCCAATCTCTAATAAACTTAATTGTTAGACTGAAAACAACGTTTAAATATTTTGATTGATGTTCTTAATTTCATTTAAGAGATTTAACTCATGCATTTAATGTCCCACAAATTATAAAATTTAAATAATATTTTTAAAATATAATAAATACTTAAAAATTAATTTTAGAATAATCTTGTTCTTCACAAAAATTATAGGAAAAAAAATATTGATGTACCAACATAATTTTTAACATATTTTAAAAAAATAACTATTAATATATTTTAAAACATAAAATAAATACATATAATTAGCATGGGTACATTTAGCAAAATTAAAAATAAGTACAAATAAATTAAAAATATATAAGTACAAATACAAATAAAAGTTAAAAAAATATAAGTACAGAAAAGAATTAATATATGAATACAAATTAAAACTGAAAATAAAATTGGTACAAATTAGGAAAAGGTTACAAAATAAAAATGAGTACAAACTAAAATTAAAAATACATGATAAAAAATTTAGTTATAAACATAAATATACCAAGTATAACTTTTCTAACACCATCTCCAAACCTTGGTTAAAAGCCAAATTACCCCCCAAATTACCCCCAAACACTCTCCAACCATGTTAAAATTTTAGGCTAAATACCAAATGTTATTTCTGAGTCAAATACCCCCAACTTTCCCCGGGCTAAATGTCAAATGTTTATCGGAATTTAAATTTTTTTAGATTAAAATGTTCATAAAATTAATTTACAATAATCTACATATTTATTTATTTTTTTTAAATTGATTTAAGAAAAAAATTAGCCTAAGTTCATTCTTTAATAATTCCGGATTAAAATTTTAGGGCAGAAAGGTTGGAGTAGAAAAGATGTTTCTGGACTAAAAGCCAAATTTTCCGGGTTAAAAAATTTGGCTTTTAGCCTAAGAGATTGTCTAATGCTATATAAATATATTTAGAAATAAAAAAATATTTTATTATTAAAATAATTAATTATGTTTATCAAAATTTAAGGACCTTGACCAAATTTGCAAAAGAACAAGATTTAATCAAGAGGAAAAATTGGGATAAGAATCTAATTTTTCTTAATTAAATAGATTAATTGGACGACGATGGAATTTTACCTGGGAGAGGCGGCGATCATGATGAGCTTGGTGAAGAGGTCGGGACGGGTGACAGCGGCGATGGCGCCGATCATGGCGGACATGGAGTGGTCGACGAAAATGCATGACTGGACGTGGAGCACCTCGAGAATGGCGAGGAGGTCGTAGGCGTAGCCTTCGAGGGTGGAGTAGCGCTCGAAGTCGAAGTATTCGGGGTTAGTGGTTCCGGCGCCCATGTTGTCGTACAAAATGACGCGGTAGTCGTCGACGAGGTGGGGGACGAGGTGTTTCCAGACCGACTGATCGGTGCCGAAGCCGTGGCCCAGGACTAGGACTTGCTGACCCGACCCTACGACCCGCACGTTGTGAGCTTCTTCCACTATTCCCATTGTTGCTCTCTCTCTCTCTCTCTGTCTCTCTCTCTCTCTTCTTTTCTCTGTTGTTTGTTGGTTTGGTTGACACGTAAGAACTGGCACCGTATATATATATATATATAAGAATCGTGGTGATAAGATCAGTGGGGGGAGAACTGGTCAGCTACTGCTGGTGTACTGGAGATTTCTGTATGTTCCATTGACTGTTTTGACAGTAAACAATTTTATGGAGTTATATTCAAATGACCGTCGATCTAGGACAAATATAAGAACGCTAGTTTTGTATTTTTAAGAACGATAGTTGTAGCCTAGGAGAATTGACATGAAACAAGGATGTTAAGGTAGTGGCGTTTTAATCTTTTCTTGCGACGTCAAGTTAGAACACTTGAATTAATGGCGTTTCAATTTTTTTTCATACTCGAATTTTTTCATAGCTGTAAAAATTGCTTATGCCCTTCTGCCGTTGAAAAGGCCGATGCTTTTGTTTCCTAAAACAAATTTGTTACCAAAAAATAATATGTAAAAAGGTGAAAAGCATATAATCCATGTTATAAGGTTGACAAACAACAAATTTAGTGTTCCCAATTCTTATAACCTCCCATCTACCACAGTCATACTTTTTTTTAATTGACCACACAGTCATAGACTCATACTTGAGGATAGAGTTTAAGAGTCAAAATATTAGGTTCGCCTTTCTTAAATGAAAAAAAAAAAAAACAAATTGATTAATATGTTGAAATAAAAATGTGATTGAAAGCATGAAGATGCTGAGCTTTGTTGATTCATAGGCAGATGTATCACTTAAATATCGATTTATGACCATTTTAGTTGTATAACTAAGTTGAGCTATGAGACTAGCCATAACTAGATATTGGATTATCAAACTGACTATAAATATGTTGTGCTTTCCACTTGAGTTAGACCGGAGACCTCATCTAGTAAAGTAGAGAACAACAACCGCTAAATTCAAAGATGGTTTGGTACCGATATACGTATCAATTAAGCTTTTCAAAGTAGTTTAGGTCAGTTTAATTATTGTATAGAAGAATCATGCACCGTATAATCCATACAAAATATTGTTTTAGTAGTGTGAGATGTGAGCTATATCAATTAATTGTGAGTTATATCTTTTTTAGTCATGTCTTGATGGTCATTTATTGTATGGTGAAGTCAACAATTTAAATCACTATCATAGAACTCAAATTTATAACTCATTGTAAAAGATTCTTTATTCTTATAAAATTAGCACAAAATTCAATTTTTAGGTCCGCTGTGAAACAATAATTGTACATTGTGGGTATACATCCTTTTGTGTTAAAGTTCATATTAATGCATTCAATATTATTTACCCTACAAGGTGGAGAGTGAGCTAAACTTTTGTTGACCCTAAAACCTACTTAGCCTACGTGGCGCTCAGACCGAATAGCTAATAAGCTAACTACGTCATTTGGTTGAATGTAGGGCATGCCAACTCATTGGCAACCAGGAAGTGAATGAATGTTGTTCTGGTGTTGGGTGTGCTGATGACTTCAAATCTTGTGACTATGGCCTAACAAGGAACACATCTCGACCTTCAAGTTTTAGAGCCTAAAGACAAGGCTGCTAGTTGCTAAGAGGTCCAATATAAATATTCGGCTTTTAGTGTGCTGAATGTCATAACCTAGTAACACCTCACTCGCCGTGAAGCTAATGAAGTGACCTCTTCCAACAAGGATTCAGAGATTCCTTATTGACCGAGACTTGGATAGATAACTAGTCTCAAGGCAATGATGTTTATCCAAACTAAGATGTGTTAACGGGAAAAAGGGTAAAATAAAAAACTTAAGATGTGTTAACGAGAAAAAGGGTAAAATAAAAATCTTAAGATGTTTAAGAGGTTTCGAGTAGAGCGAGAGTTAAGAGGTTTCGAGTAGAGCGAGAGTTAAGAGGTTTCGCGTAGAGCGAGAGTTTACGCAGGGCAGATTTGTGTGTTGATTTGAAGGGGGCTTTGAATGATGCACTACCATCTCTATTTATAGTAGTAAATCCCACATGACCGAAGTATAATACCACTTAGACTATAATTCTTCGATCAATTATGAGTGGGCCTAGGCCAATTCTCGTGTATGTAGGACTCTAAATCCAGCTCTATTATCCTCCAAATTCAAACCTTGATCCTCAACATATGCTCCTTGATTCGATGCATCACCGATATTTGAGGACTCCTTGTTGTATTAGGACTTGGACGAAATCCTATCCAAGTAAACCAATTCCTGGTAGGACTCAGCCGACCCTCCTTGGGTTGGACTTCCCTTGAAAATATCCCAAGACAACCTAGGCTTTTCCTTTGGGACGAGCCCATGATCGTTCTTGGCCTAAAACTATTAATTTGGGTCCAAACAACTTCATAAGTTAGCCTAATAAGTTGGTTGGAATTTTCCTTCGCCGAAAATTGGACCTAAAACCTTTTACTTACAAATGAAGAAAATATCATGCCATAGCTATTTTTACAAATAGAAAATTTGGAATTTGGTTCTCAAATAATCAACAATTATTAGTTGTTATATTTTGGCAACTAGAGACCTCAACTCAAAGTGAAAGAATTTTGACCCCCGATAACTGATAGTACATGTTGCAAGTGCAACAGACGTTAAGTTTTTATTTTAATAAATGATATTATCTATATTAAGGGTGGAGGAGCAGGCTAAGCCTCATAATGGGCTAGCAAAAATATGATTCAAAATTCGCCTTTGGCGAGAATCGAACCTAAGGTCTCTCACTTATAAAAAAAAAAAAACCACTAAATCATAATATTAAGTGACAACATACATGAAGTTAAAGAGTGGAGAAAACTACAAGTCCAAAGAGAGACTAAGAAAATTGTATTTGTTTAATACTACGCAATTATTGATGCAAGTTTTGGTGATCCTTATTGTGGGTAGTCTACATTTCGTTTTATGGGAGAAAAATGGGTATTGCAGGTGTAGCAGACAAATGTTGTGCTACATGGCATCTTAAGTTCTGGCAAACTCGTTGCTACAGCTACATTGATTGCGTATCATTTTTTCTCGAATCCTTATAGGTAATTAGATATTATATTCATAGAGCTAGTGGATCCTTCTATAATTTCATATGCTTCTGTTTTTTAAATAATCATTATGTACGATTTACGTTGTCAGAAGGTAACAGTGTGACCTAAAATCAAGGTTCTAAAAGACGCTAAGCAGCGGGCTGGGGCCTAGCATGCCTAGGCGCCTAGGTGGACTAAACAGATTTAAGTAAGTCATTATATTTTTATGTAAATAGGTGTCTGTTTATACTTAAAATATATATAATTTCATCATAAACTACATATATATTATGAAGTATTGGGACATAATGAAAACATGGGGAGTAAGTATATAATGTGTGTTCGATTAAATATTCAACAAGCCTTTACAATTTATTGAAGAAAAAATAAAATGCGAAATGAAAGTTATCTTTTTTCTGTCTAAGTGAGTCGCAACCTAGTTGAGTGCCTAGGAGGGTCTAGGCGGTCTAGGCGAGTGCCTCAACAGGTCTAGACGGTCTAGGCGAGTGCCCAGCCGCGTAGGGCCTAGACGGCGCTAGGCGAAGATTTTTAGAACTGTGGCTAAAATACATATTCAAGCAATTTGATCCTGTTATTGAGCTTTTACAGAAGTCTAGGATCTAACATAAAAGTAATTAATTGAAGAATAGTACAATGCTCTAATTGGCAACATAAGTAGTAGTCCAAATTCGTATAAGCGCTACAATTACAAGGTCTCTTATCTTCCTAGCATGAAATTGATACTCTCGACATGTAAACTTAACACGTGAACAACACTTGTGTAGTACGTATAGCATTTTGGGTACAACATCCGGCTTTTAATTATAAAAAAGTTAAAATTTAACTGAAAAACTAATTGACAATAAAAAAAATAAAAAAACCTATATAAACACTTAAAAAATGCCTCATTTTTCAACATGAGGTTGATGCTCTCAACAAAACCAAAAACCCCGGATATATACTATTTAGTATATGATGCCACTTGTAGCATGTCAAATTTGTGTCAACTGTTTGTTTGTTTTGTTGGGGCCTGTAGTAAGTAGTGCGACGGTGTCTTGTATTTTCCTGAAAACTTTGACGGCGGTGAACCGGTGGTTCACATGGAATACCTGCCACGTTGACGCCACATACGAAAATGAAAGCACTCGTGACAAGATCAGCAGACAAGCATTTACCAAATTAGTACCACTGCTCCTGTACTGGAAAAGCTTTCATTACCCACCAAAGATTTTTCAACTGCTAGATATTTAAGCTGCACTTATAATGTACAAAAAATAATATATTTTTCTGTGTATACATGCCTGAATAGCTGAGAACTTTGACGGCGGTGAACCGGTGGTTCACATGGAATACCTGCCACATTGACGCCACATACGAAAATGAAAGCACTCGTGACAAGATCAGCAGACAAGCATTTACCAAATTAGTACCACTGCTCCTGTACTGGAAAAGCTTTCATTACCCACCAAAGATTTTTCAACTGCTAGATATTTAAGCTGCACTTATAATGTACAAAAAATAATATATTTTTCTGTGTATACATGCCTGAATAGCTGAGAAAATTTCTCATTACTTACGTAGTCGTATCTTTGAACAAGTTAAATGTTGGTAAGTCAACCATGGAATGAAAGAAATTTCCATGCATTTGAATTCTACGACATTATTACAAGTTAATTACTCATTGCGATGTGTGATGCGTGATTGTAAAGAATGATAATCACTCACTATTATGTGAGACTGCAAAGTGAATGAATGTAGCGTTAAATGATGAGATAGCAGTATACAAATGGGCATGGCTTCATGAAAATATCGGAACACTCAAGAATGAGTGATTAGCTTTGAATAAGGAAGTTATTTCCGCACATTTATTTCTCTCCTCTGCACAGTACGGTTTAATTCTTGCTTTTAAATTGAACAAAAGAATAAATAATCGATCGGACGAAGTAAACACATGCAAAAGAAGACTACTGAGCGAGTATTTACACAGCGAGTGACTGTGAGTCGCAGTTCAAGATAAATATAAATTTATATAATAAATCCCAGTAATATACACAATGTGGAAAATCACAACAAATTATAAACCAACGAGAGAGAGAGCTGAAAATGAAGTCAAAGCTCAACGCCAAGAAATCAACAGCACCTTCAATCTTGCCATCAAACAATGTACAAGCCACCATCTTTCCTGTAAAATCTAGCAGCCGGATGCACCTGCGTATAAATTTTCTCATTCTACTTACACAACAGATGCATATTTTTTTTCCGCCACCGATTTTTTCTCATGGGAAGGTGTGGAGTGATCCGTCTGCTGCTTCCTCGTTCATAGAGAATATATCGACAGGGACACTAGTGCAGTTAAAGAGGCTCTGGTCCTGGACACCAGCATTTGGGGAAACTTGTGAATGATCTAGGAATATCACGATTACAGTGATATCGTCGTGGAAATTGCGCCTTGCCCCCCTTTCAATTCTTTTTATGTCGTCGTATCTCAATTCTCTTTTCCTTGCAGCCTCGTCGATGGCAGCTCTTACCAATCGCTTTGCTATTCCCTGTAATTAAATTATCAGCAACTCTTAAGTTCTCAGCATCTTATAATTTCTATAAAACAGAAAACTACCACAGAAATGAACTTTGTTGGGGCCTTACAGCTCTTGGATTTTTGGAGACGATTTTCACGGCTGTTTCATCACTTAAATGCTCCCAGAGACCATCTGTTGCAAATATCAAAAACATGTCCTGTGGTTGTAACTTTCGAACTACTATCGACGGTTCTGCTGTCATTACAGGCTTCTTTAAAGGAACGGGCATACCGAACTGGTGGAAGAGAGGATCTCTGTTAAACTCAGGTTTCTTCAAGTAGACATCACCGATTGACCTTGAGACCTACAAAGGGGAGGTTTCATCAGATAATAAGCACAAGAAAGTACCAGCGAGATAAAGAAACAACGCACAAGAATATTACATTCACTTTCACAGGAGATATAGGATTTATGAAGTTGACTATCACCAAACTGAACTTTCGTCATAAGGCCGCTGGAGTAATTTTTTTTGCTTTATGTGTGTGTCCGTAATGAGCATGAAACTTGTCATATCTCTTAATTGCATATGAGAGTGGAGTTCAAAATGATCACATACAAAGAATATGCTCGACTGTCATTTTGACTGGTCACCATACAATACTTTTTAGGCTTTCATATGCATTTCATGAACCGTCATCCCATTTGCTTCAGATACTATAATTCTTAGCTGCCTAGAAAGTGGCTAAAGAGTAAAGAGGCAAAACCTGTGAAAATAGATGGATAGGGATAAACAATGAGAGAATACCATATCCAGAAAAAAGTGGACTTTTCCTTCATACTCGTTAGGAAAGAAAAGCTGTAAGATCCGGTTCATGCAATGATCCGGTTCATGCAATGCACCTAATCAGAGCAGGACTTTCTAGGACTATGTTCATGCCCTCAAACAATATGCTGTAAGATGGCAATAATGAAAGGCATAAGACGATTAGCCGTTTGTATTACTACTACTGCAGGACCAAATAATATATTACAGGGAACCTCCTCTTCACAGGACTAGAAATACTAATATCGGAAATTCAAAAGTATAACCACACCATTTTCATTACGCTCATACCACAAAGTTTCATAAGATTCTTTTAGTTACAGTACAAGTTTCCCCAGATTCTCATGCATCACTGAAATCAAACCTCGGGTTCAGATTCCAAATAACTTACCATTTGAACTAAATTTTTTCAAACAACCCCCTAAGAAAAAAAAGAAATAAACTCTCTAGATGTGTTAACCAATAGAACCATCCTTTTGCTATGACTTCCTTTTTACAATTTTATTTCAAGTCTTACAACAGATATTCAATGCATCCATCATATTACTCGATTGATTAACAGTTTAAGATCACTTCTATTTATAAATATATAAAGAAATAGAATATGATAGAAATGGTAATCATAAATTGATTTATTACCGGTTTTTTTTTTTTTTAAACGGAGCTTGGATACTTCATTTTATTGGCCTAACCAAGACAACAATTTCTAATTGATAATATTTAATCTGTATACACTCCTAAAAAATGGATCTAATTGAACTTCACACTCCCAATTTTTGATAATTCAATCAATCTTTCTTGAAGAAAGTTGGGGTTCCACCATAAAACCAATTGGAAAAATGGGGAGTAGCCCAATTACTTATAAGCACATGCAAGGTCCCTTTTTTTCCCGATCAAGTCTTGGATCATAACACGGATAACTATTTTCAAATGGATTGGGATTGGGAAGAATTTCTGACATGTAAAGTCAATATATCTATATGTATTAGAAAATCATATACAAACAACAACAACAACAAAGCCTTTTCCCACTAAGTAGGGTCGGCTATATGAATCCTAGAACGCCATTGCGCTCGGCTATATTAGAAAATCATATGAAGGGGATATTATTATTTTAGTTTGGATCTAAGAAATTCGATGAAACTATTCTAGTGTTGAAAGCCAAAGGAGAAAGAGAAAACAGAGCTAGTTGTGAACCAGGAAAGTGATAAGACAGTTCAAGGGAGTAGTGAATTGGCCATTCCCACGCCCTTGTTGACAATCCTTTACTCCGGCAGCATCTAGGGTTCCTCAAACAATGTGATATCTCACAATGGGTAAATCCTTAACCCTTCCCCCTCTTACTAAGGGATTCATACTGTCAACACTACACTACAACGAAGTTAACTTGCATCAAACTCTAGTATTCCACTAGTCATTAAGGTTTGCTCCTAACATAAGTCAATATTAAATATGTTAACCAATACGAATAATGTTCAGCAAGATAATTCATGAACCAAACAAACCCGACATTTAGTACCTGAATAATGCCCTTAATTCGCCAAACTCCACGTGTATACACCACAATGTGCGCATCATCAGGGTGAAGATCCTTAACCTCCTTCCTCACTTCCTCCACTGAAACATTGTGATCCGTAGACAACCGCTCTGCGACCACGGCCTGCCCATCCGATGCTCTCCTGCCAAGAACTGCCCTCGAATCTCCGAGATTAGCCACATATAAAATACCATCTGCAATTGCACCAACCAGACAACACGATCCTACTGAAGCAATCTGCGGCCGCACCATCCATGATCGCTTAACCAACTCCAAGAACTCCTCCTCTGTTGCATCAAATGCCTTCCTTATCACATCCTCTGACAGCCCACCTTGTTCAGTTGCAAACTCTGAGGGAACAACAAACAACCTTAACTTCAAAGAAAAACACAATTCTTTTTTGTATAACCCATCTGATTAATTGACCAGTAAATTTGAGTTAAATGGAAAATAAATTAATAACTATAAAAATGGCATCTGAATTTCTTTAAAATTATTTAGCTAGAAAAACCATAAAAAAATCTGTAAGATCAATAAGTCAACTGGGATTCTTCCTGGTCTCAATACATATAATTCTTCTGCTAATTGGAATAAAATTATTGAAGAAAATAATTAGATAAAAACAGAAAAATAAAGAGAAAAAAGAACATGAGCATTTCTGCAGAGGGGTATACTACTCACTGTGAAGGAAGGGGAAGAGGTGGTTAGTGATGAAGCGGGAAGCTTCAGGACCGCCATGGCCGTCATAGACTCCAACATACGTGGCGCAAGGAGATGTGAACACCTGTCCCTGATCCTCCAGAGCAGAATTAGCTTGAACCACTGCAATCGAATAGTCCCCAGAAGAGTGGGGCTTGAGGTCCATGTGCCAAAGCAGCCCATCGCCGCCGTCTCCGCCACCAAAACACTTCTCCAACGGCCTCCGACACATCTCCAACATCATTGTCAACTTGGGTCCTCCGATTTTACTTCGATTCCCACTTTGGTTAAGGGGAAAAACAGGAAAGGCAATACGTGGGTTTTGGTTTGGTTTGGTAGTTGGGCTGTTGGAATAAAAAGAGAGGGACGTGGGGATTCCGTGTTTAAAGGGTAAAATGGAGGAATTTTTCCGAGAAAAATACTTTGGGTGAGGGCGAAAGACAAAGACTTTGATGTGTTTTAATATTTTACTTTGTCATTTAATTAAAAGGAATTTTAACGAAAAGTTTTCGGTATTGTTTATGTTAAACAAAAATCATATTTTTACACTAAAAAGTCAATTCTGATACTATTTATTTTACCTTTTATTTTATCTTTATTATTAAAACTCAAAGTTTCCAAATTTTTTTCATTAGTTTTCTTTTAATTAAAAGAAATGGGGTTTTGCTTTTGGAATGTGGTGGCGAGGTGGACGGAGAAAACTTATCTAGTGCTTTGTCAGACGAGAGAGAGAGAGTGGAATCATGTTCTTAATTATTTTTAAGAATTTGGAAAAACAACAGTGTTATGATGCGTTTAGGAATATGGGATAGGACTCACAACTCATGAAGTGGTGGAGACCCTTTAATTTTCCAAGGATTAAGTCTTTGGTTTTGCCATTTGACTTATGATCCATAATAATCTTAGAAAAAAAAGTAGAAATCATTTGATTCTTGTTGTCGATATACAACAGGAAGTACTTTTAAAATAACTGAAAAATACTTTTAGATTACCAAAAGCGATTCTAATCATGTTTGACAAAAAATATTATTGCTTTTTAATGGAGCACTTGAAAGTTCATAAAAAAATTTCAATGTGTTTTTAATATAAGCGTTTTTATTGAAAGTGAATCTGAGCATAAGTGCTTTTTCAAGGAAAAAAAAAACAATTTCAAATGAGTCAAACATTACTATATTTCGAGTAATTTAAGAGAGAACTAATTGATATCAAGGTCACAAAGAGGGTGAATTGAAAAAAAAAATGAAAAAAACCCTCTAGCACAAATCTCTCTCATCAGTTTTGATTGCGGGTGTTTTAGGTTGTCTTTGGTAAGACCCCGTCGTACTCATCATTATGGCTAGCTCTTCTCTAAGGGTGTTGTTGATCCTAAAAATTATTAAGATTACTTGATACGCAGACCGAACTAAAAGCTAACTACGTCCTTGTTATGGTTGATATGAGTGTGCCAAGGTGAGTCGGACGAGTAAGGTGATGGTGGTGGTGGTGTCGAATTTCAAACTTATCAGAATCGATTGCCAATCCTTAACAGTTTTAGTGTATCTAGTACTCCCACCGAATCGTGCTCAAATGTAATCTCTCCACAACCCTTTAGTTACAAAGACTCGACTAGGCTATTGTTGTCTTGGACTGGAGCACCTAAAACTTACCTAACTGATGTTGGGCAAAATACCAAGCCTTCTACTACAATTTACTTACCCTTGGCCCAAACTTGAATTATGGGGCCAAACAGGTTTATTGTATGAATACAATTGTCTTTTAATGAAAAAAAAAAAAGAGAAGAAAAACAAACTTTAAATAGTTTAGACATTACAAACTCAGTGTTGTGATTAAACATTTGCTTATCACATTGTAAATCAGACAACTAATAATTAGCTTCCAATTTGGTTGGTTCTATGCATTATTGTTTGGAAAATTAATTGTTTGGGTCATCATACATAACATAAATATTTTTCCTTTTAAAGAAGATATTTGTCCCCGTATAAAAAGGGTATCAATTTCTTCTTGGAAATCGAGGTGACTAAATGACAATTATACTATTTACTCATTTATTTTTCATATGGAATAGAACCAAATCACATCACATTGTGGAACATGTTTATTATTTTAATTGTTGAAATACTCCAACAAAATATAAAAGGGTAAATTACATAGTAACCCTTCAGGTTTGAGGTCTATTACAACCTCATACAATATCTTTAAAACATTTCACTTTCATACCTCACGTACTATTTTATTTCAAAATAATACCTTCATTAGATTTTCCATCAATTGATCCATTAAGCGTTGACGTTGTTGCCAAATGTGTATCACGTGGTAAAAATAATAATTTTTTAATTATTTTTTTAAAACCTGAATCTTCTAAAAAAAAGCTGAAAGAAAACCCCCACCCCCGTGAACCCCCCAGACCAGAAACCTAGAAAGAAACCCCCTAGCCCCCCCCCCCCCCCCGCCCCTCGGGGAGACCCTCCCTCCCCCACGACCCACCTCACCCAAAAAGCCACATCCCTCCCTCTGCACCCACCCTCTTCCCTCCTCTACACACCCCCACTCCTTAAATCCACACCCATTCCTCCCACCTCACGAACCCGACGATGGCAGCGTAGACGGGATTTGGTTTTTTTTTTTTTTTTTGGGTTGCAGGTAGGGGGTCGAGGGAGGAAGATGTAGATGGGGGAGAAGAGAGGGGAAGAGGAGGGGGAAAGACGAACTGAAGGGTTTTTTTTTTTTTTTTTTTTGGTTGCAGTGGGAAGAAGATGAAGATGGGGGAGAAGAGAGGAGGAGGAGGGGGGATAAGGTTTCTAGGTTTGGGGGTTGCAGGGAGAAGAGAGGAGGAAGAGGGGGGATAAGGTTTTAGCTTTTTTTTTTAATTTTATTTTATAATTTAGAAGATTTAGGATTTTTTTTTAAAAAAATTAAAAAATTATTATTTTTGCCACATGGCACACATTTGGCAACCACGTGGCACAAATGTGGCAACCACATTAGTGCTTAACGGATCAATGGATGAAAAATCTAAAGGAAGAATTATTTTGAAATAAAATAGTACGTGAAATATGAAAGTGAAATGTTTTAAAAGATGTTGTATGGGGTTGTAAGGGGTTACTATGTAATTTACCCAATATAAAAATAACAACATAGACAAAATCTTGAAAGGAACAACATATTGAGAAGGAACCTTCAAAGTCATGGAGAGCAACTCTTTGATTTTTTTTTTTTAATTTCTCAAAACCTTATTGCATGCATGCAATTCTCCTCAGCTCTTGGGATGTAACTAGGAAAGGAAACAATCAAATATATCTCTTCCTGTAAAGTTAATAGAGATGTGAGGTGACATACCCCGACCGGAATTAAGGCGTGCTGGCCTTCACGTGAAGGTGACGTAGTCAAAAGTGCATGTGATGTAAGGAAATTATGAATAAATTAAAACTGAAACTAGAACTTAATTAACTAATAACGTGAGTGCGCGGTAGTGGTTACAACCCATAACTACTAATATTTAGACATAGATAACATAAGGGTAAAGTAGTCGAACGAGAGAAATACTTATTACACAACTAGAGATAAGTTCCTACATTAAGATGGAGTTATGTCAGAACCACCAGCTATTCCTCATATGCCACAAAGATAAATCAACTAACTAGGACCTGGAGGGGCGAAAAATAGAAGGGTGAGTGGGCACAAAAATAAAAGTTTATAACATCAATTTATCTTTCAACCATACTAACTCCTCACTGCAAAACATGTATAGTTTCTACAAATTCATACTATGTATAGGTATGAAAATCAAATGCATGCCAAAGGTAAGTCCAGAAGTATGCTGTGGATGCAAGTTTCTTCCTCCTCGATCTTGGACGATTTTGCACCTACAAAACAATTAACACCTTAGGTTAAGGCCAAGAGCCTCACGCGCCCACAATGAATGGGGGGGGCTTTGGCCGAAGAACCTCCGATGCCAAAGTTAGAATTTAGAGAGAAAGAGTGTTTAGAGAATTTTGGGATTTTTGCCAAAGTGTTGGAATTGGCTTTTTGGTGAGAAATGAGAGTATATTTATAGGGATAGGAGGTGGCTAGGGTTTTTTGGGTTTGATTTAGGTTTAATTAGCCAATTTATTTGGCTATTAAACATAAAATGAATGTTTTGGTGGTTTTTTGTATAATTGGCTAATCAATGTCACAAAAAAGGAAAATTATAGTGAAAAAAGAAGGAAATGGCCGGCTCCCTTTGGAGAAGGGATAACCGGCCTTTAGGGTGATTTTTGGGCTTAATTTGGTGATGTAATTAGCCTTTAATATATTGATTATATTAATTGGTTGAGGATGTTATGGAATGTTTGAAATAAATGGCTAATTGAATAAGGAAAAAATGAGGTAAAAACATATATGGAATGAAATAGGTTTTGAATTGTTACCCATTTTGGGTACTCCTGACTTGGTTGATGGATGATTCTCCAATGCTCGCGTGTAGGAAACCCGGTATGCCTCGAGGGTATTTTTGTCCTCTTTTGTCCAAAGTCCACGTGTCGCCTAGTGAATATTTTTGGCTCTACAAATGCCCCCACACCTGTTGGGCTGCTCGCAGAAAAGGGCAACAGGTGTAGAGATCTTCTTGCTTTAGGAAACTTAAGACTGCTTCCTCCTTTGATGTTGATTCTCTCTTTAATAGGAAATTAAATCCTTCTAGGAAAAGGAAATAAATTTCTCTCAAAGCCTATTTAAGTCCACCTTAAGTGGGTTATTAAATCAACTTTGGAGAGCGATTTATTCTACCTTACAAGAGAGAGATAGCTTAGAGGATATTTGTTCCCCCTTCTCTAGCAATCTTCTACATCTTGCCCGTGCAAAGGACCGTTTTTCGTTGCTTTCTTCGTCTTCTTCGTGCCGCACCAATGTAAGAAAAATTTAATTTTTCTTGCCTTATTCTTGGATAGTGCTATTGCGGGGTAGCTGTCGGGGTGGTGCGACACGTCGACTGGTAGGGGCCAGGAGCTGGCTCGGCATGGGTTGAGGAGATGTCGTGGCAGGGACCACTGCTTGGGTAGATTGGCTTGGCTTGAGCCAAGGGCAGCTTGTGCAGCTGGGGTTGAGGATTGTGTCGCTGGGGCGTAGTGCTAGGCGAGCCGCATGGCTCATGTCCTTTGGGCTCTTGGACCTGACTATGGCTAGGTTGGCGATTGAGAGAAATAAGGAGATTGCGGGTCTCATGGGCTACTGGAATGTTGGGCATGCAGGCCTCCTGCCTGCTGGAATGTTGGGTTGAGCTCCCCTGCTGAGTACCATGAATGTCGTTGGCTGCTTAGTCCTTTTTGCTGAAAGAAAGGTGGGCTGCTCCAGAAAGAGGAGGTAAAGAGGATCAAG